CAAGTCAAGTTTGTTTCAATCTAGTTGTGGAGGGCACAGCTCTGCGGCCCATGTAGGAATCAAACCGTCAACCTTGGTGTTATGACCCTGTGCTGTAATCACCTGAGCTAAACGGCTGCGTCTTAAAGAGAGAATTCTAACATGTATCATAATTAGGGTTCAACCTGAGACACAGAACCAGTATGAGATTAATTACAAGGAATTGGATTATGCAATTGTGAAGGCTGGATAAACAAGGCAGCCAGGAAGAAAAGATCAAGAGCATGTTGGAACCCCAGGAGTACAGGCTGAAATTTGTTGTCCACAGGCAGTAAGGCCAGGAAGAGCATAAGCAGGCTGGAACCTCATGGGCTTGAACTGTTTGGGATCTCCGAGCTCAAGGAAAGCCTAAGCCCTCTTTTAAAGGGTTCACCAGATTAGGTTAGGCCCACCCAAGATTGTCTTTCTTTTGGTTAAACTGATTAGGGACTTTTATCACATCTATAAAATATCTCAACAGCAGCACCCGGATTAGTGTTTGATTAAATAATGAGAATGAAGTTCAGCGTAGTTCATTCAATGAAGTTCAGGTTTGTATATCAAAACATCACACAACAGCAACCAATATACGAGACATTTCCTTTTCCTTCCTCCTTGTGCCAATAAGGGAGCTAGAGCCTAGAGGGAGCTGGAGGAAGTGTCCCAGAAGCAAACTATATTCCCCTCCCACAGTCTCTGAAGGAAATGGAGTAAAATAGCAGACCACATCCTCTCCTTATGCATTCCCCCAGAGCTACAAATCTGTCCTGCAGTGAGAAAGGGGCAAGCTTTGGATGGATATGTCACAATTTTTTTTTTGAAGATTTTTATTGGGGAATTGTGGGGAGGGGAACAGCGTTGGAGAATCGGGGAAAGGGAACAGACAGGTAGACAAATTGCTGTTTTTGTTCTTCAGTCTAGTTGTGGAGGACGTCGCTTCACTGTCCTATATTGGTATAATCATTGTGCTCTTCCCGGGTGAGGCAATCGGTCGCCGGTAGTTGGTCAGCCGCTCACAACGGCTGCCGGCCGCTCACGTAGCTCACCGCAGCCCACTGCAGCTCCACTGCAGCCTACGCCATCGCCGGCAACTCCCAGCAGCCCAGTTCCAGGTTGAACTGTTGTTCATCATCTTAGCTGTAGAGGGTGAGCATCACTGGCCCTCAATGTGGTATCCAAACCGCAGCCCTGCTGCTCAGAGCTGGCGCTCCCAAGCGAGCTCTTAACCAGCTGAGCCACTCTGCCAGCCCATAAGTCACAATTTTAACAATGGACAGCAAACGGGAAATTACGGGATCTGAGATGTCATTAAGATACTTAAAGATACTGACTATCAACGAAAGGAGATTTTAACATAGCAAATTTGGGTACAATGGCTGGAGATAAAGCTCCACTGGGCTGAGACAATTAAATACTAAAATGATTAGATTACAAAATTTAGAAGAACTGCAGATGTCAAACAAAGAAGAAAAAAATAAGTGGCTATAGTGGTCATGGAAAGCTCGTTTCTAAAAGGCAGAATTTGCACTAGACCTTCTTAAAAGATGAGCAGTCCTTAGAAAGCTAGAGCAGAGGGTAAACTAGTGAGAATAAAGGCTTAGAGAAATGATATGTACATGTAGGGAATGAGGACAGGGAGCACACTGGACTGATCAGAGAAAAGTATGTGTTAAGGAACCAGGCATTTATACGGGCTAGACTAGGTAGGGTCTTGAGAGCCAGGCAGAGGAACTGAGATTCTATGAGGTAGGAAATCACCGTAGGTTCTTGAATGGGGAAAGTTTAAGGGAAGTTTTGTTTTGTATCGTTTTGTTTTTTTTTTAAGATTTTATTGGGGAATTGGGGGAGGGGATCAGTGTTGGGGAATTGGGGAAGGGGACCAGCCAAGTTGTTGTTCTTCAATCTTAGTTGTGGAGGGCGCCAGTCACCATCTGGCTGCCCGTCGGCAGCTCGTGGCCTCTAAGCTCAAGGTGCTGTGTTACAATCTTAGTTGCGGGCATAGCCACCATCCCATGTGGGAGTCAAACCCAGCAGCCTTGTTGTTAAGAGCGCACGCTCTATATCCTGAGCTATCTGGGTGGCAGCTCAGCTCAAGATGCTGAGTTCAGTCTTAGTTGTGGGTGGGTGTAGCCCACCATCAACAGGCAGTCTTGTTGTTACACCAGCTGAGCCATCCTGCCACCTATTGGCAGCTCAGCGATAGCTCAGCTCCGGCAGAGCATCACTGGCTCAGGTGAGAATCGAACCGGCGGCCCTGTTGCTCAGTGCTCGCGCTCTTAAGCCAACTCTTAACCAACTGAGCCACTCGGTCGGCCCCTGTTTTGAATCTTTTAAAGACAGATTAATGTGACAGTGGTATATTATAGATGGATTTTAGGGGAGAAGGACTAGGATCAAAGGGCTAGTTAGGATGCAATATTCTAGATAGGAATTCACAATAACCTGATTCAGAATCATAAAGGAAATAGAATTGGAGAAAGGGAAAATCTGAGAAATATTTGAAAGACAAAACCAGTAAGATTGGGGCCGGCTGAGTGGTGCAATGGTTAAGAACTGGCTTGGGACGCCAGAGGGCCCCGGTTTGGATCCCACATATGAGGGCCAGTGACACTGCCCTCTACAGCTAAGATGCTGAACAACAGCTCAACCTGGAGCTGGGCTGCTGTGAGTTGCCGGCGATGGGCGATGGCGTAGATTGCAGCCCCTGTGGCAGTGGGTTGCCATGGGCTACCGTGTGTAGACAGCAGCCAGCGTGAGCGGCCAGCAGCCGCAGTGAGCGGCCGTCCAGAAGCTGGCGACTGATCTGCCTCGCCCGGGAAGAGTGCAATGATGGTGCCAACTTGGGCCAGTGAAGCAACGTCCTCCACAACTAGACTGAAGAACAAAACGACAGCAACTTGTCTGTTCCCCTTCCCCCAATTCCCCAGCACTGTTCCCATCCCCCCAGTTCCCCAATAAAAACAGAAAAACAAAAACAAAAAAACCCCCAGTAAGATTGATGACCAAATGAAAATGTGATGGCAGAAATGATAATTCAGAGTTGTCCTTGATTTTTAGTTTGAGGAAGGGGGAAAATGGAGGGATTGCAAACATAAATGAGGAAGTTAGGGAAGGAAAATCTATCGGAGATTAAGACTATTAATTCAATTTGGGATTATTGAAGTTGAAGTCATGACTTGAAGTGGAAATGTACTGATAAAAGTTGGGGAAAACAAGAACATCAGATTAGCCTGATAGCAGTATGCAGGAAGGACTGCAAGAGGGAGGTCCAGGCTAACTGAAAGGCTGTGGGGCACAGGTGGTGTTTTTTTTAAATGACTTCTTCCAACTGAACCTGGTATCCTTTAGAAGAGAAGGGAGTAAATAGGAATGGAACAGCTGCCCACCCAGATGGTGTCAAAAAACAAAAGAGGATTTGATTTCTGGACTAAGGTTTAAGATCCTGAAATTGATGAGTTTTGGGCAAGGAATAGGGTGTATGTCATTAGGACAAAAAAAAATTTTTTTAAAGTTCCTCCCTTCCTCTCTCCCTCCCTCCCTCCCTCCCCTCCCTCCCTGCCTCCCTTCATTCCTTTTAGAGGGAGGGGAGGGGAGGGGAGGAAATTGTTCTTGGATGGATAGATAGATAGCAAAGGAGAATTGAGTGAACAAATATAGGTTTCAAACAAAGAATAACATTGTAGAAGATACCCAGTGTTTCAAAAAGAGTTAATTATAGGTGAAAGGAAGCTGAATTTATTAGTAACATTTATTGAGAGTTTACTATATGCCAGCAATGTGGCAAATTCTTTATATGCATTATCTCATATAATCCTTACAAGAAGCTTAACTCTTTTCCCACTCAACAATATGTTGTGAACATCTTTCCATGTCAATAAAAATCTGCGTTGTTTTTAATGCACGGGTAGCATAGTATTCCTTTGAATGAAGGGTCATTGCAGTAAGCTACAGTGAACTTTCTTATTCACACATTCTTACCACACTTTTTTTGTATGTGCTCTCTTTTTCTTAAATAACAGACAAACATTTTGTTTTAGTTTTTAATTTAACTTTTTGAATATCATGCTTCAAAATTAAAAATTTTAAATTATACTGTAAAAAGCCTTTCTTTCATTCTTGTTCCCTGTTCTACCTCAGTGATTATTAGTTTCCTTTGTATCTTTCCATTTTTTTATGTTATATAAGCAAATGTATAAATATATACTCTTCCCCCCCCCTTTTTTTCTTTTTACACATAAGGTAAGAAGCATCTTGTGATCATCTCTTCAGGGTAAAATCTTAAAAGTGGTATTTCTGAATTAAAGAGTTGTTTCAGTAAAGTCTCAGTTAAAATACATATTGCCCAATTGCTCATCAGAGGGTTGTACACACCAATAATAGATGAATGTCACTAAATCCATTTTATGTACTTGTTAATTTCAGTGTATCTATATATCTGAAAATGTATGGGGAGCCCAGAATAAATGTTAAAAAAAATCACTATAATTTGTAATAATATAAAGCTAATTGTGATATATACAGAAGCTAATTGTGATATATACAGAAGTGATTATACAAAAGACTTGGACTTATCCATTTTTAATTTATAATATGGACAAATGTACATAATGAGAAGTATTGAACTAAGTTGCTATTTATTTTTCTATATTTTTCTTATTGCATGGGTAGAGAGAAAAGCAGGAATGAAAAGTGGAAAAATATCAGTTGTTTGTGATATAGATAGGAAATAGCTGAATGAATGAATCAAAGGACAAGCAGAATGAGAAACAGAAACAGACTTAAGATGAGGGTGAAAAGGGTAACCATTTCATTGGGCCTCACATTTCTGATAAGGAATATTGCCAGCTCATTCCTATTACTTTTTGAAAAAACTGTTACAACCTCTACTTTCTATTATTGAATTGGTACACGATTATAATATAAAACTAAATTTCCATTGAATGAACATGTACATTTGTCTTTTTTTTTCTCTCCTTAAATAGAATTGATTATCTGAAGAAATGGATATTTCTCCCTCCAAAAAATATCCTGTTAAAAAACGGGTGAAAATACATCCCAACACAGTGATGGTAAAATATACCTCTCATTATCCCCAGCCTGGGGATGATGGATATGAAGAAATCAATGAAGATTATGGAAACTTTATGGAAGAAAATCCAAAGAAAGGCCTGCTGAGTGAAATGAAAAAAAAAGGAAGAACTTTTTTTGGAACCATGGATACCCGAACTCCACCAACAGAAGACCCAATGACCAATGAAATTGGACAATTTCAGAGCTTTGCAGAAAAAAACATTTTTCAATCCAGAAAAATGTGGATAGTGTTGTTTGGATCTGCTTTGGCTCATGGATGTGTGGCTCTTATCACTAGGCTTGTTTCTGATCGTTCTAAAGTTCCATCTCTAGAACTGATTTTTATCCGTTCTGTTTTGCAGGTCTTATCTGTGTTAGTTGTGTGTTACTACCAGGAGGCACCCTTTGGACCCAGTGGATACAGATTACGACTCTTCTTTTATGGTATATGCAATGTCATCTCTATCACCTGTGCTTATACATCATTTTCAATAGTTCCTCCCAGCAATGGGACCACTATGTGGAGAGCCACAACCACAGTCTTCAGTGCCATTTTGGCTTTTTTACTTGTAGATGAGAAAATGGCTTATGTTGACACGGCTACAGTTATGTGCAGCATCTTAGGTGTTTGTCTTGTCATGATCCCCAACATTGTTGATGAAGACAATTCTTTGTTAAATGCCTGGAAAGAAGCCTTTGGATACACCATGACCGTGATGGCTGGATTGACCACTGCTCTCTCTATGATAATATACAGATCTATTAAGGAGAAGGTCAGCATGTGGACTGCACTGTTTACCTTTGGTTGGACTGGGACAATCTGGGGAGTATCTACTATGTTTGTTCTTCAAGAACCCATCATCCCATTAGATGCAGAAACCTGGAGTTATCTCATTGCTATATGTGTCTGTTCTACTGCAGCATTCTTAGGAGTTTATTACGCCTTGGACAAATTCCATCCAGCTTTGGTCAGCACAGTACAACACTTGGAGATTGTGGTAGCTATGGTCTTGCAGCTTCTAGTGTTACACATATTTCCTAGTATCTATGATGTCTTTGGAGGGGTAATCATTATGATTAGTGTTTTTGTCCTTGCTGGCTATAAACTTTACTGGAAGAATTTAAGAAGGCAGGATTATCAGGAAATACTAGACTCTCCCATTAAATGAATACCAGATTATTATCTTGTTAACCATCAGTTAATAATACACTGCCATTTTAATGTTCACCTATGTCTTTTGTGTTGTATAATTGACAGTGCTATATATTATTAATATATGCAGACGTAGAAAATTTTATTCTAGTCTCATATTCAAAAACAAGTATTAAATATATGAAATATCATGAAACTGGTGTCTTTGCTGTTATTAACAAAAGGTAATTGTGGTAGAAGGAGAATGTTAACTTTCATCACTAAAGAACAGACTTGAAGAAATTACCCCTTTCAGATGGAACTTCTGGGATCCTAAAGTTCAAAAATTAGAATAATGTTCATCCCCAATGTTGTACAAATATTCAACAAAAATCCTTCAGTATTCAAAAATCTTCATTTGTAAAAAGTCCACTGTAAGGTGAAATGCTGAATACCAAGCAAGCCCTGTGGTGTCATCTACTTGCATCAGAAAACTAAGGTTTTCTGGTTGGGTTGGGTAGGGAGCTTGAGTTAAAGCAAGAAAGAGGGAACAAAGGAAAGGAGCTTCCGCTTGCTATGGCCACATTAGGCAATGTATAGGAAATGAAGGTGAGGAGAAGACAGAATTCTTGCTAGCTCTACTTAGTTTATGCCATTTTGTGCCTGATGGGAGGAGGCCTACTGTTGGGGCAGGGTCTGCTTATCCTCATTTATAGGATCTCTTGCAAAACTGCCCTAATTTAGATTTTGTAGTATGTACATGTATAAGCTTCAGTAAAGGTATTCCTGACCCCTGAAAAAGACATTAGCAGTAATCACAATATAGCAGAAAATTGATACAACACGGTGTCCTCAGATTCTTTTCAAACGGGCCTAAAAGTCCATAAACGCATATAAAGTGGCATTAACGTGGGTCTAATTTGGGCTAATTAACTTAGCACAAAGCAATGTACATACGGCATTGGTTATTAAGCTATTGTTATTGAGCTAGCTTAGCTCCAAATTTACCCTTCTATACTTTCCTCTGTGACACTATGGCTCAGACCCTGCAAACTACATTTTTCTTATGCTAGCTGATATTTACCTAGGTTCCACCAATAAAGGGCATTAAAGGGAGACTGGACGGGACGACAGGAGAGGACGACCTTCCCCAAAGGAACCCACAGTCACATTAGAGGGTGTCTGTGCTTTTGGGAAAATGTTAACATTCAGATATTCCAAAAATTACTAGACATTGGCTCTCAAAAGAAATTATCCAAGTTGAAGCACTGAAAAAAGAATTGAAAAAAACAACAAAAAACTTGGAATAACCTGTAATAAAGATGAAGAAGTATAGCTTAAATATAGTCTCAGAAGAGGAGACAGAATGAGGCAGAAAAAAATTATTTGGAGAAATACTGATGAAAAGTTTTCCAAATATGATAAATGGAAACAACAACCAGCAATCCACAGATCCAGGGAACCAAGGAAACCTTAGCTGTACAAATACAAAGAAAAACCAAACCACACCTAGAAACATAGTGTAACTACTGATAAACAAACAAAATCTTAAAAGCAACCAGAAAAAAAGACATATAACATTCAGGAAAACAATGATAAGAATTACAGTTGACTTCGCGTCAGAAACAATGGAATCCAGAAAACAACAGAATTTAAAGTGCTGCAAGAAAACCCTTTATTAATTTTTCATTGCCTATAGGATGAAGTTTAAGGACCTTAACTTCCATAACCCGATATTGTTTACATTTCTAGTCATCTTCTGCTCCAGCATTATTCTATTATTGTGTAATACCTTTTTATTAAAGCAGGCCCCTCTATGTGGAAAGCCCTTCTTTTTGCCTACTTAATTGCCTGACTAGCCTGCACATAAAACTCTCTTCCCTCTGTGGCTTAATGTCCCCCTGTACACATCTACTGCTGTATTTACTATATTATCTCATTCTCTGACACTGAATTGCACTCCTTTAAAGTGATCATTAGATCTCCAGTACCTATTGTAGTGCCTACCACAGAGTAGACTCTTAATACATTTTGTTGAATTAATTCCTGTAAAAGCATAACAATACTGAATCCAGAAATTAAATTTACTTACCAGGGTTCACTCACTAATTTCTATACTTCACAGTCAAGTCTGTGATTAGTTCTTGCTGATTAGTAGGTAGGACTCTTTTTGGTCCTAAACAGTCCTACCTGACAGGGATGCTGAACCAAACTGTTCTCTAATCACTTCTAACTAAAAGCTATCAATAGTTTCCTGGGAAAGGCCTTGAGACCTAGAGATTCTTTTTTCCATTCCTCGTCTTTCCAAGTCCTTCCATTTGAGGTTAACGAAGTGAGCTGCCTGCAAGTTTTTATCCTAGCTAGATTAGCGACCCATATCTGAAGCTCCATTTCCAGTTCATAAGTCTTAAGTACTGACCAAAACTTTCTTGTTGCCTCATTCTGGCTAGACCCTGGTCCACTCAGCACTAATTAGCAAGGATGATTCCTGGTTTTGGTTTGAGATCCGCTAAAAGAGGAAAAAGAAGTCACATGCATGTTTATGTTTAGAAGTTGGGGAGACGGTGTGAAAGGAAGTCTCTGGAACAACTCCCACCCATAAGAACATGGACTCCATTCCTTCTATGTACATCATACTGCAATTTCATACATGACTTTCTGCCTATCTACTCTTTCACCCAATGCTTTCCTCTTTCATTGCTGTTTTCTTATTTATTTTTTCTTATTTTTTTTAACTCCTCTTTTTCATATATATATATATATATATATATATATATTTTTTTTAAGAGTTCATGGTCAGAATGCATGATGAGGAAATTTCAGGAAGGAAAACTAAAGGAAAAAACATGTTTACAGGGAACTAAAACACTTTTAAATCCCTTAATTCTTCTACTCCTTAAATAGGTGGCACACAATAGTCAAGAGAGATTTGCATCAAAATCTTGTGAAGGGTCTGTTCAGATCATTGGCTCATTCAAAATACATATTCCCTTACAAAATAAAATCTTAAAGACTTTAGTATATTTTTTCTGAGTTTATTTTTCCCACTTAAGGTAGTGGTATAATCTACCTGATTGCAAGGACTACTTTACCTGTTGTATTTGTATTCAAACCCCCTGCCCCCATCACACGTTAAATGTGTAAGTAGAATTGAGCTAGATTTTGCTAATAGTTTGCTGTGTGATTTTGGAGAAAATACTTTAACCTCTGAACAATGGTTTCTCCAGCTTCAAAAATGAATATAATATCTCAATCCATAAACTTTGTAAGATGTATCAACAAATAAAACTATTGTATTAGTCAGCTCAGTCTGCCATAACAAAATACCACAGACTGGGTGGCTTAAACAACAGAAATTTAATTTCTTACAGTTCTGGGGCTGGAAGTCACACACCAGGGTGCCAGCACGGTCAGTTTCTGGTGAGAACTCTCCTCCTGGCTTGCACACAGCTGCTTTCTCACTGTGTCCTCTCATGGTGGAAATAGAGTAAGCTTCTGATGTCTATTTTTATAAAGACAGTAATCCTAAAATATTAGGGCCCCACTAATATCACCTCAGTCAACTTTAATTACCTCCTAAAGGCCCTATCTCACATTGGGGTTAGGGCTTCAACATATGAATTTCGGGAGGAAACACAATTCAGCCCATAGCAGCCTTGATAAAGTATGCAACGGTATTTAGACCCTTAGAATAAACTCAAAATTCACTTAATATTATTCACTTTGGATGCTAATAATGGGATGTAGACATAGAGTAGCTGTTGCCCAGAGTATCAGGACCTACTTGCCTCCGCCAACTTGAAGCCAGGAAGGGGGTCATAGGTGATTTGTGCTTGACCTTGTGATCCTATATATGGCAAGCAAACCACATATATTTATCAGCATTCAAATGAATAATTTGAAGTTAAACGCATAAAAGTTTGAAGTTTTGGGACTTACAGTCAGGGCCAGTCTTAAAGAAGGGAAAGGAAGATGTATGAATGCCTTCAACAATATTTACTGACGATATATATATCACATGCTAGGCACTGGGGGAAAACTGAAAACTGACATGGCTCCTGACTTAATGTAGTTACAATCTACATTAATTAATAATGTAGGGATACGTGCAAAGTATTTCAACAGTTTGGATGGGGAAAATACCAGTGCTCCATGAAGGGTACCTAACCCAAGCAGGATTCCCTGAGGAGGCAGGCCTAAGCTGAGCCACGAAGATGGTTAGGAAGAAATGAGGCATGTTGTGCGGGGACTGCAGCCCCGGCGTCGGAGAACCAGTTTAGTTGATGACCTGGCTGGTGGCTGGGGCTGAGTTCCTGAGTGGGCAGACCTGGCACCGAAGGTCACTGTCTTTCCTCCTCAGAGCATGACTACCACAAACGAGACTGGAAGCTAACTAGGCACCAGGGCACTTCGAAGGTACTCAGACTCCGCTCATTTCGGTTTGTGGTTCAAATTAAGCATACGTCTTACATTTTTCTCTCAGGTCCCCATTTCCAGGCCTTTTGTTTTTTCTTTTTTGCTCCCCTCCCCTAAGAACTGTATCTGGCAAGATCCTCTTCAGGTGCAGAAACCAGAAGGAAGATCCCAGGGCAGTTGGAGCTGACTTCGGGAAGCAGCCATTTTTTTGCTATAGGGTATCTCCCGCGGCGCTGAGGAGGAAAGACCAAAGCAGTCAGCCAGGGAGGAAAACACAGCGCGAATCCCGGTGAGGTCCGGCGATTCTCACCCTCTCACCGGGGTCAACGTCCGCTCACTCCAGCACAGCGCTTGATTGACAGGCTTGCCCGCCCAATCCCAGCGCAGCGCAGTCCGCTCTCGCGTCAGGGATGGGAGGGAAGGGGGCGGCTGAGCCTATCAAATTAGGTTAGGAGGGGGTTTCCTGCCCGCGCGGATCCGCCCGCGGCCTCGCGGCCAGTCGGCGCTGCAGCCCCCCCGCCTGCTGCGCGCGCCCCGCCCCTCTCCCGAGAGCTACGCGGCGGGTGAGCGGAGGCCTCGTGCCGTAACGGCCATCGCGGCGGCCGCGGCGGCGTCCGGGTGCCCTCCTCAGGTGAGCTGGGGCCGCCAGGGCTCGGCAGAGGGAAGGAGAGACGACCCTGCCGGCAGGCAGACGCACAGAGACCCTTTCCTTGCCCCTTGCGTTCACATAGCCTGTTATTAGCTGCGTCGCTTCCTCTTCCCGGAGAAGTTGGCTCGGGGGGCGCCGTCTGCG